AAGAAAGAAAGAAAGAAAGAAAGAAAGAAAGAAAGAAAGAAAGAAAGAAAGAAAGAAAGAAAGAAAGAAAGAAAGAAAGAAAGAAAGAAAGAAATGAAGGAAGGAAGGAAGGAAGGAAGGAAGGAAGGAAGGAAGGAAGGAAGGAAGGAAGAGGGGGGAGAGGGAGAGGGAGGGAGGGAGGGAAGGAGGGAGGGAGGAAGGAGGAAGGAAGGAGAGGAAAAGATATGTAACCTGGAGAAGCAAATACTTGGGGAAATGGCTCCTCCTGGCACAAAGAGCTTATCTCAAAGGATAAACGTTTGTGGTAGGCTGCATTCTATCTCAAAGATAAATACCAGTTTTCAAATATATGGCAGAATGCATGCTTTCTTAAAAGAGATGCCCACCGAGCAATGGTGGCTCATGCTTGTAATCCTAGCTACTCAGGAGGCTGAGATCTGAGGATCACAGTTCAAAGCCAGCCCAGGCAAGAAAGTCCTTCAGACACTTACCTCCAATTAACCACCAGAAAACCAGAAGTGGCACTGTGGCTCAAGTGGTAGAGCGCTTGTCTTCAGCTGAAGAACTCAGGGACAGCACCTAGGCTCAACGTTCAAGCCCCACAACCGACAAAAAAAAATAGAGAGAAAGATACCCAAAATTAATGGTCATATATTTAAAGTACAGGTCAGTCTCAGAGACCCTGAGCCCCTGTGGTAAAAAGTGTTAACACCAGAAGTGATTAGGAGCAAAGATAAACACCGATGTACAAAACCTGAAGTGAGATGCTGCCTTTATCACAGAAATACCCCTGATGTCAAAGGGCTCATTCTGTCTCTCCTTCGAGAGCACCCACACTGTTAGAGGTTGTCTCTGTCAGCTTTTTGTCTGCTTCCTTACATACTCAATAAAGCTCTGCCAAGTTCTCTTTCCATTACGACTGGTCCAGAAATGCTTTTTGTTGTTATTGCTGTTGGTTGTAGGGCTTGAACTCAGAGCCTGGGCACTGTCCCTGAGCTGTTTTAATACTCTACCTCTTTGAGCCAGAGTGCCACTTCCAGTTTTCGAGTGGCTCATTGGAGATAAGAGTCTCATGGACTTTCCTGCCCCAGTTGACCTTGAACCATGGTCCTCAGTTCTCAGCCTTCTGAGTAGCGAGGTTACAGGTATGAGCCACTGGTGACTGGCAGGGAAACTTTACAAACCTTCATCTGGATCTGGTGACACTTCCATATGAAACCCAACTTTCTAAAGACTGAGAACAGTGCCTCAAAACACACACACACACACACACACACACACACACACACACAAAGGACAAAGGAAAGCTGGGTACCAGTGGTTCATGCTTATAATCTTGCTATTCAAGAGGCTGAGATCTGAGGATCATGATTTAAAGCCAGCCTGGGCAGGAAAGTTCATGATACTTTTATCACCAATTAAACACCAAAAAGCCAGAAGTGGAGCTGTGGTTCAATTGGTAGAGCACCAGCCTTGAGCTAAAAAGCTGAGACAGCTGTCCAGACCCTGAATTCAAGCCCCGGGACTGGCAGTTAAAAATAAATGTACATTTATGGAGGAGACAACAATGCTTGATAAGAAATGTACTCATTATCTTGCCCAGGTAATTGTAACTCCTCTATACGGTATTTTCACACAAAAAAAAACTTTTTTAAAATGTACATTTATGTACATTAATAAAATCGAAAGCATACAGCTCTCTGAGTATTCTTTCTGTCCATCCTTCCTTCCAGCCTCTGCTCCTTCCCATCATCTTCACAAGAACCTGCACTGTCTCATACTGAGTCCCAGTCTAAGTCTGTAATACAGAACAAGAACATTTTATGGTTTAAAACAAGAATCTATCTTCTAAGCTGGGCACCGGTGGCTCATGCCTGTCATCCTAGCTACTCAGGAGGCTGAGAGCTGAGGATCGCAGTTCAAAGCCAGCCTGGGCAGGAAAGTCTATGAGATTTTTATCTCCAATAAACCACCAGAAAACCAGAAGTGGCATTGTGGCTCAATTAGTTGAGCACTCACCTTGAGTTGAAGAGCTAAGGGACAGCACCCAGGCCCAGAGTTCAAACCACACAACTGACAAAATAATCTATCTAAAGCTATGGTACAATTCTTGGTCATCGGAAGGACTTCCAGTGTCACAGAGTTGTTAGTTCTTAGCCCCATGGGATCCACATCATCCATACACAGGAAGTCCTCTGCAGGACTGCCTTGTGTGTGTCTGTGTGCACCTGTCCTAGGCTCTTACCCCAAGTGAACTGCATGGTCCCCCCTTCCCCTGTCTCCCAGCCATTCCCTCAGGGATTGCACTTGCCCCACCATTGGCTCCCCGGGGAATGATGGCAGTGTCTCCCTCGATGGAGAAGATGGAGATGTTCACAACCCTGGTAACCACACTGACGAGGCTGTGAGCTCCTTTTAAGATGGAACAGCTCTGGAAGGAGCCTCCAGGTGTGGCTTTCTGGCCAAGGTGGAGATGTGAAGAGATAGGATCACCTGCTAGTTGCTACAGTCCCTGCATCCCTGGAGATTCAACATCCAGAGCACCTCGTTAAGGAGAAATTCTACTCTCCTCCTCGTCCCAGGGGAGCCTGTCCTTAAGGATCAGGAGTAGAACAACAACAAAAAAAAAAAAGAATCAGTCAGGATTTCTCGTTTCCTGACCCCAGAGATTAAGTTCCTCATCCTCTAATTCCCTGGTTTGGTTTGGCTTGGTTTTAGTCCCACATTTACTTCTTGTACCTTATGCACATTAGACAGGACTCTTTTCTAATAAATTGCATCCTCTGGCCAGGTGTTGGTGGCTCACACCTGTAATCCAGCTACTCAAGTGGCTGAGGTCAGAGGATTTCAGCTCAAAACTAGCCCAGTC